TCTCTTCTGACAGATTTTAACGTCTACTGTGTGTGATACTAAGATTGCTGCCCCAACATTCTTTGTGTCTTAAGCCTTCTTTGTATTTGTCCTTTACTACTGCTTCTTTTGTGTTTTGTTGGTTTATTATAGTGAACCATTTTGGTTCCCTTCTCCTTTCCTTTTGTGTATGTTTTTTAGATATTTTCTTAATAGTTACCATGAATATTACATTTAACAGCTTGTATTTATAACATTTTAGGGTAAGTTGGTACCAAGTTTAGCAACATACAAGAAATTCTGTATCTGTACCATTTCTCTCCCCCCCTTTTGTTGTTATCACTAATTATGTCTTTATATTTCATGTGCCCTGTAACATAATTTTATCCTTGCATTTTATATATCTGTTATTAAAAACCATGAAGGACAAAACAAAATTATCAAGCATGAATACCTTATTACTAGCTCTTATGCTTATCCATGCAGCTCCCTTTATTAGGGATCTTTCTTTTTATGTATGTCTTTGAATTACTTTCTAGTGCCTTTCCCTTCCATCTACAGGTCTCCCATTAGTATTTTTTTGTTGGGCCTGTCTGGTGGCTATAAACTCTCTCAGCTTCTGTTTGTCTGTGAATGTTTTAATTCCACCCTTAGTCGTAAAGGACCATTTTACTGAGCATACTATTCTTGGTCACAGTTTTTTTGTTTTCTTTCATCACTTTAAATATTTCATTCCATTGCCTTCTAGCCTCCAATGTTTCTGAGGAGAAATCGGCATTTAATCTTACTGGGGATCTTTTGTATGTGGCTGTTTGCTTCTCTCTCACTATTTTCAGGATTCTCTGTTTATCTTTACTTTTTGAGAACCCTACTATGATGTGTCTTAGTGTAGATCTCTGTGAGTTCATTCTGCTTGAGGTTCTTAGAGCTTCTTGGATTTGTAGATTCATGTCCTTAGTTAGATTTGGGAAATTTCCTGTCATTGTTTCTTCATGTATTCTTTCTGTCCCCTTCTCTTTCTCATCTCCTTCTTGAATTTCCATAATGTGTATATTAGGCCTCTTGATGTTGTACCATAATTCTATTAAATTGTGCTCAGCCTTCTTGATCCTCCATTCTTCTTGTTCTTCAGCCTCTGTAATTTTGACTGTCTTATCCTCTAATTCACTCATTATTTCTTCTGCCCGATTAAATCTTTTGGTAAGTCCTTCTGTTGTGTTTCTCATTTCAGTTATTGTCCCTTTCAGTTGCAGTATCTCTTTTTTTTAGATCTTCATTTTGTTCTTGCACTGTTTTCCTTATTTCTTTTAGCTCTGTGTCTGTATTTTCACTTAGCTCTTTAATTATGTTTATGTTGTTGTATCATATTCTTCCATTTTTTTCATTATTTGAGCATCCCTAGGTGCATTTTTGCTCCCTTCATCATGTTCTTTGGATGAGCCATTGTTTCTCTGTTTTTTGTGTGTCTTGTGATTTTTTTGTTGGTGTATTAGAATGTTCGAGGATGTTAACTTTCTGGGTCCTCCCCAGTATTTGGTGTTTTTGCTCACACTACTTTCTGCAAAAAACTCTTAGGTGGCAGAGCCTTCAGCTTTTGCTTACCTTTTCCTCTCCCTGTCTGTGATGGCTCCTTCCCACTCCCTGGTTTAATTAGGATTTGAAAGATCCCAGATCTCAGTTTTCAACTTTCAGTGCCTCCCAAACACATCAGAGAACATGCTGTGGTCAATCTGTCCAGCAATAGGCTCTGCCACTTAGATGAGATATCGTGCACTAGACAGTCTGTCCTCCTGGGGGCCAGTTCTCTCTTTGTGTGGTTATTACTCCCTTCCCGTATCTGTTTCTGCAACCACATTTTCAGTTGGAAAACTCACACCCAGTGAATACCCTTCTGGGCTGGGTGTTGCCCTCCGGTTTGCCTACAGCTTCCTTCCCTGCTCTTTGTGTTCTGCTTATATATGTGCTAGCATTCAAGGGAAGCACAAGTCAACTTTCCTCCATTTCAGGACGAGAAGGGGCTGGCACTCCCCAGAAGGACCTCCAAGAGATGTCTTGTTGGCTTCAGAGCCCCAGTTGCCCTGTGGTGCTTGGGGAAGGAGCCTCCACTTAGGTGACCCACCCCCTGGCCTCAGTGTAGGGAACCTTCTGTAGGAGTTTATATCAGTCCAGCAGCCGACAGTTACTGGGTGAAGGAGGGGTTGGCACACTCCAAATGGACTCCCAGGGAAATCTGCCTTGTTGCTGTTAGATCCTGCCTCATTGTATGTTGGCTGTGGGTGTAGCCTCCACTCAAGATGCCTGCTTCCTAGCACACAGTAGTGTCAGTCAGCAGTCATTGGTGCTGATTGGAAGGGGGAGCAAACAGACGCAAACTGACCCCCAGAGCTGTCTGTCCTGTTGGTTTCAGAGGCCTGAGCTAAGGTGTGCACAGGGAGACAGGTAGAATGCTGACTATGGGAGCAGACTCCACTCTGCAGTCGTTTTTAATCTAGAAATTGCCTTTTTCCCCCATGACACTAAGTCTTTGAAGAGACCAGGCAGTTGTCTTACGGGATAGCCCACATTCTGGAGCTGCCCAGTTGTTTACTGATGGGGCAGTTCAGTTTCTGGTAAACTGGAAATTAGGCCTAAACTTGATCAGATTCAGAGTCATCACATTTGGCAAGAATATCCTTTTGTTTTAGAATGTGTCCAGGAGACAGCTGCTAATATCTATTTCTTAATAGTTACCATGAATATTACATTTAACAGCTTGTATTTATAACATTTTAGGGTAAGTTGGTACCAAGTTAATGTCAGTAACATACAAC